TTTTGAGTGCAATACAAAAAATTTGGTTAATACTCATAACATTGTCTTTGCGTTTCTCTAATACAGGTGCAAGTCTTTATGCCAAATCATAAACATTACTCATGAAGTCATCAAATACAGATTTTAAGATTATCAATATTAGCAACTTTATGCCCATAGATTTTGCTAGATTGAACTTTAAGATCTAAGGCTGTAGAATGCAAGTGCCTCATTGAAAGATGTGGAGAATATGCATCAATATTTTTTGGGTATCTACTTTTAACTTATTAATTATTTAAAAGAACTTGTGATGTAGATCTCTTCTCAATTTTAATTTCTCACATGTCTCCCTTATCAACGTGTCGATCCATTCTAGTAGGAGCTTTGAACCTTGTTTCTTGTTTATAAAATATGCTTTTATGACTCTTTTTTGGTAGTACTCCATTTTTGCTTTGATTTTAGTCTCATCTAACTTGACTTATACTATCCTATTGATCAATAAGAAGCCTTTATTACTACAAAATAAACCATTAAGGAGGTATTCACTCAATGTTGCACAAGTGGAATGTATATTTGTAAATTATTATGTTTGAATTGTCTTAGCCACTAATTTTGACTAAATTCTGTCTTTGCAAATTTTCTTCTCAACTTTCCTTCTTTCTCTCAAATGCTTAAGATGATATTAGAGCATGTATCATTTAAGACTTTAATGCTACAGTATATGATATTAGCAATGCCATCGTTGCCTACATACAACATGTATTAGATTAGACTAAAATACCATTGATTCCTTTAGTAGCTTCAATTGAACTGAATGCTTTATGACATACAATGAAATCTTAAATCTATCCCACCTTAAATAAATATCTTCTATGCTATTAATTGTGCTATTGAAGATATTTTTCAAACAAATCTTTCATGCCTACTTAAATTGGATAACAATTGCTCAGGAATGCAATGCATGGATTAACATTTGATCACAAGAATTTTTCATATTGATGTGAAGGAGCTCGTTGAAGCCTCGTTGTATCCACCCAATATTTTCTAAAAAGTATTTTTTTATAATATAATATTTTAGATAATATAAAATTATAATGTAAAAGATATTTATCCTACTATGTTTGAAAATCAAATAATATGAAATGACATGAAGTTATATTGGATACAAATCAAGACAATGATGATAAAAAAATAAAATAAAATAAAATAATACCAATTAAGAGCATTTGAAGAGATTTTTTGGTATATAATTTTGAATATACCTAATAAAGCAAATGTGCTGCCTTCTATTTACTTTAAAGTAATTTCAAAGGAAAAAAATAAAAATAAAAATAACAAAAGATTTTTATTTCATGCAAGTTAGAGGAAATGGCATATAAAGCTTTTGAGGAAGAATCACAAAAAAAAAAAAAAAAGGGCCTCTCAAGCATTTGATCACTACATTTAATCTTGGTTGTTACACATTTCATCAAGATCGCATGAAAGTGTAGAGGAGAGCATGGTCAGGAGATCGCTTGGGACCCTTGACTGTACAAAAGTAACATGGAGATGAATCAATACAAAAAAGAGGGTATTTAACACTTACAAAAGTTTGAAGTTTGTATCAGTTTTAAATCCATTTAAATCTAATTTTTAATCCATATTTACAAAATATCCATATTGGAGAAGAAATCAATGAGTAAAAAATTTTGAGTTATAAAAAATCTTCCTAAAGACAAATGTATCATATATATTTAATGCTATTATTTATGGTAACAAAATAAATAAATAAATAAATAAATAAATAAAGCCTTTGAAGCAAGAGTAGTGGTTGAAAATCAAAACAAGTTGTTTTTTTAAAATATCAAAGTTTAGTCAAAAAGTATTTTTACAAAACTTAACAATTTGTTTTTGAAGAAAGATGATCTATAAATCTTAAGACAAGATTAGGATAAGAAAGCCAAATAAAAGAAAAAAGAAATAAAAGAAATAAAAGAAGAGTTATATGTTATGCAATACATGATCAAACAACTTTTACTTAGTGGTGGTGGTAGTGGTAATAACAATGGTTATTAAAGGAATTTATGGAGTAGATTATAGAAAATTGAAGGATTTGGGATGGAGACGCAAGCCCCTCAATAAAGTCCAACTGATTTTCTTTTATAGTAGTCATGCTACTGCTCACGGATTATGGTGGCAAAGAAGGGCAATGATTGCAACAACAGCTACAACCTCCAAGAGGCAAAAATGGCTTCCTTTTTATTCTGTGGATGTAAAAATATTTTCCTTCTTCCCTCATATTTAGATCTTTGTGCATCTGGGTAGCTGCACTCTTGCCCTTGCTTTGGTGATGTGTTATATTGTGCTATGTTGTTGCGGTGCCGGCATTTTTTTTCTTCCATGTTGTTCTACTTATTAGTACTGTTGTGTGGCTTGCTTAAGGATATGCATAATGTTTTTGGAATAGTAATGGCAATACATAAATGTTCTCGATCAATATCATTAATTGGTGTTTATTAATATCAGTGATTGGTACTTTGGATTCTAACTAACTTTTATGTAAATCTATTTGCCTATTTAATTTGCATTTTTAAAGAATATTTAGTAGTGATATTATAAATTGATTAGAATACTTTATAATAGTACAAATATATTCATAGTCATTTACATGTGTGAAAAGAAGTGCAACTTCTCTCTTTATAATATCAACTACAAGATTCGTCCTTTTTATTTTTAAAAATTTATTATAGTACTTTAATTTTTTTATTTAACATATATGTATATTTATATTTCTAAAATATTACAATTTTTTTACAAAAATTAATTGGTTTAAAAATAATTATGGTTGTATAGATAATTTTAAAGATAAGTTATATACATATATCTAAACCAACTAATAATAATATTTTAATATTATTCTTGTCTAAATGTATATATAAATTTATAATTAATTTTTTAAGAATAAAATATTTTAATAATTATATATACACTCATATTAAATTTTGTATAATATAAGATATTTTTAATACAACTTATATATGCATCCATGTATAAACAAAGTCATAATATCAAAGCTTTGAAATCCTTTATTTTTGTTATAATTCACAACATTGTGATATTTATATATAATTTTTTTCCTTCTCATATTACTATCTAAGCTTAGAAATCACTAGATGCAAGTATAAATATTCGATATATGTATAATTCTAAATTTTAATAAAAAAATAAAATAATAGAGATTATAATATACATGTGTAAATTGCAAGCATTTTTATACAAAATTCAAGCTTTGAATTCATTTTGAATCTAAATATGTTTTAACTTAGATTCATCACCCTTATACCAAATACAAACAATTTTATTTTTTATTTTTTATTTTTTCATAGAATTCCAAACTTGCACAAATTTTGCACTTGAATAAATTTGCACTACAAAAACATTCATATTTTATATAATGGCTGCCAAAATTGAATATGAAATCAGCTTGATTAATTTCAATAAACAATATAAATAAATTGGATGCAACAAAAATAAAACCATAAATTGCACAAGATTACTATTACAATAAATCATACTTTTCATAATGATTGAAGTCTATTATATATAAGTATACATATTCTAGAAAAATTAAAATGAAGTTAGGTCCAAAACTTAGTTTTGCTCACACTAGCTGAAAAAAATTAAAAAATCTGTCTACTTGCCCTCAGTATCTATCACAATTCTAATACGTTTATTCATACTTCCATATGAGTTTTTACACTCATTGGGAGTAATTGAAGTTCAACAATTCTCAATATGCCCCTATAATTCTAATATTCTTTTGGAAAATATTTCATATTGGTTCAATCAATGTTTTATACTTGCCTATAAGTATTCAATCGAATCCAAGTCTAGAGATTGTATCAGCCACTTTCAAAGAGTAAATTCTTGCAAATTGAGCCAATGATGCACATTCTTAGACATATGTTTAGAGTCATTATCTTGTTAAAAAATCAAACTTGAAGGATTTAAATTGTATACATGCACTATATGAATCAATTTTTTGCTCCAAAATTTCTATGTACATGTATTGATTCATTTTTCCCTCAATCCTACACATCATACTTGGGCCATTTGGAGTCATGTAATCCCACATCATCACTCTTCTACCTCCAAACTTGATTGTTTTTTTTGTACCATTCCAACTTTTGTACTCTATCCATCACAAAACCAATACCAACTAGGACCATCAGAGCAAAAGCAGTTGACTTCTGTTTCATCAAAAAATATTACATGATCCAAATCATTAATAATCCAATGATAATGACGTTTACCAAATTTTAATCTTGCCTTAGTTTAACAAAGAGTGAGCTTTGGTTTCTTTTGCTTCACTTAGCATTTCAAACCCGCTTCATGAATCACTCTTTTCACAATATTATCACTCACACCAACACGAAACTTCTCTTTCAAGTAATTTCCAATTGTATGTGCAATTTCTTTGCCACTTCTAGTGATTTCTCTCACACAAGCCCTTTGGTGGCAAGCCAGAATGTACAGTATACAGATTGGCTTTCTTCTATTCTTAGTCCCACTCTCCCCCCCCCCCCCAACTCGCACTATTTAGTTCCTTCCTTGCACGAATCTGGGGGCAGGGCGGGGGGGGGGGCAGGGCCAAGTCGGGGGAGCGAATAGGGATTCGGATAATGAGATATTCGGCGGGTTTGCGTAGCGCTATCAGCATGACGAGGAGAGTTCAAGCGCAGGGACGCGGTGGCCTTTAAGCCCCGGTGAGAGGACATCCCACGCCCCCGCGGGTTTTATTCCTCGCCTGTCTATTCCATTCTGCGCCGTGGGGCCCTCCCTCATGGTCTCTCCCTTCTCCTTTTTAAAAAATATTTATGACAGTAGTTTATTTGTGGATGGATTTTTGCTCCCACCTCCGTGACCACGTTTTGTTTCGGGGTTGGAGTCCCACCTGACATCAAGGTTGGGGGTGTCGCCGGAATAGCTGTGCTGCGGCTGACGGGGTAAGGTGGATCGAAGCGGAGATGATGATGCCCATGGTGATGGTGAGAGAACGAGCCAGATCTTGCGTGTCTGCTGCAGAAAGGAACGGATTGTGACGTGGAGTTGCGAGGTGGGGATCGTCGGAGACGGGTGGTCCCCGTATACCCCCATTAGTTTTCAAGCGTGAGCAACGCATTGCCCCTCGGCAACCGCCTCCCGCAAGGAACGTTATGACGTCCGCTCCACGTGGAAATCCTCTCCGCATCTCCGACTCCGCTTTGTACCAAATTCCAATCAATCTTTGCAGTTTCGAGGAAGCTCTTTCGTGGTGTAATGCCATTTTAATGGTGTGAATATATATAGTGTAAAGGAGGGTAGCTGGCAGATGCACAGAAATTCAACTACAGGATTATCCGAGGATATTCCACCCAGCCATCGCTGGCTAAGGTTGTCTGCTCGGAGAAATACATTGGAGTTGGAGTGAGAGCGCCATTGTCACCCAATTGCAATAGTTGTGTGTGGAGTCTGGAGAGAAGGAGAGATTGCTGGTTTTGGGTTCACGACCAACAGGGTACACATGGTGATTCTGAACGGGAAATTCTATACTATGGATCGAGAGTGTTCAGGGTAGGTTTTGGAGGCAGTTTTGGCGAGAGCCTGGATCTGGAGGCGTGAGTGTGAGGGGGGAGGGGGGAAGATGAAGTATGGGAAACAGTTGCATGTGTTGGCGGAACAGATGCCGGTGGAGTACCGGGATAAGTTTCTGTCCTACAAGCAGTTGAAGAAGGTAATCAATAATATTCTGCAGCACAACTCCTTGCCCGCTGCAGCCTTTGTGGATGCGGAGGTGGAGGTGGGGGCGACGGGGGTGGTGGTTGCGGTGGAGGAGGAAGCCCTCGAGCCCGCAGCGAAGCGGGCGAGAGGGGAGGAGAGGATGGGTGGTGTGATGGGTGGAGTCTCAGAGGAACGGGTGGTCGAGGAGAAAGGTGGTGTGGCAATAACTGTTGGGACAAAGAGGAAAGCCGGAGAAGAAACAGAGGTCGCAGCAGCTGGTTTTAATCGTAACGTGGAGGCAAATATCGTGAGTTCGCCCGTGCAGAGGGAGGCTGTCCTCAGTAAGCAATGCTCGGTCGAGAAGGAGCTCACGATAGAAGAGGAGGATTTCTTGCGGCTCCTGAATGTTGAGCTCGAGAAGTTCAACCATTTCTTCACGGAACAGGAAGAAATCTATGTTATTCGCTTACAGGTACGCAAAAATTATCTTTCAACCTGAGCTGTTTTCATCCTCACAATAATGCGCAGTTGTATAGATTTAGTCGGCTTAGTGTGCACATGGATAACTTTTTATCGCTGAAATAATTAAGCAATCGATTAGGGTCCTTCACATATAATTTTTTTTCCCGTCGCTGTGTACATTCTGACCTCTCTGGATCTGCTTTCAAGACCGCTGAAGAACGCGTGTACCAAGTTACAATCTGTGAATGCAAACACCTAGGCAGGTGATATTGAATGGTTACTAAGCTGAGATTTAGAACTAAGAAATTGAGCCACAACACCCTCTTGCCCTTCTGGTCTGGGGAAAATAATTTTTTACACGAAGAATACCTTAGTGAAGCTAGAGTTCTGAACATGATGTAGGAACTGCTGTGGAGATTGAAGATATGTTTGAGTTGAAAGTCTCCATTGTAAAACCCTTGCTACGATTTTTGGAAATGTTTTTCGGGTGTTGGCACTCAGGCCCAAAGTAGTTCAGATTAATTGGGCTTTCATACATTCATCCTGGAGAGCCTGTGGAAATAGTTTTCGGGACGGATTTGTACAATGTTACCATGTGTTAGATCTTTGCTTTCAATACGTGTTACGATATTGAAGTCTCGATCGGTGAAAGACGCTGGTTGCGAATCGCATACTCCTTGCCGTACTATTCATTTCAATAATTGTTACCTTGGTTTTGCGATGCAGGAGCTAAAGCAAAAGCTGGAGAGGCTTCGACAAAAACATGGCGCAGGCGTGATGGAAAATCAGGGTTACTTTAACGATGACCTTCTGTCAATCCGGACAGGTCTCGTTACTCTGCATGGAGAACTCGTTCTTATGGAGAGTTACAGCTCCCTAAACTACACCGGTTAGTCTCTCTGACTTCCTTTTACGGCTTTAGACAACACCATGAAGTCGTGTTCGCTATGCACTTAACTCGTTGGTTTATACAGCTTTATGAATATTCCTATGGGTTGATTGATCGTTAACAATTTTTTATTCATTGTTTCCTCTTCTTCTGCTTCTTCTTCACCCAAGAATCTCCAATCTCGAATAATTGAGTTTCCTTGAATTTCAGAAGTCTGGAATTTAATGCTGTTAAATGGGCGCCTTGGATCTTTTAAGAACGTAGGGGAGAATAAGAACCGATGATGTCTTTAATGATTCCGCATCAGTTTTACTCACTCTGCCATAAATTCCAGGATTGGTGAAGATTTTGAAGAAACATGACAAGCGCACAGGAGCTGTGCTTCGTCTGCCCTTCATTAAGCGGGTGCTTCTGCAGCCATTCTTCTCCACTGAGCTGCTGACTCAGCTCGTTAAAGGATGTGAAAAGCTTTTGTTGACATTGCCTTCTCCGCCTATGGAGCAGAGCATCAACATTGAATTAATTGGTAGAGCCGGAGACTCTCAGAGTGAGCCACGACAGCCCTCATATCAAACAGGTAACATTAGATAATTTACGAGTAGTCCTATTTCTCGCACAAATCTTTTTCAGAAAAATGTCTTTTCAGTACGCAGTTCTAATTTTATAATTTAAACTAATAAGTTAATGAGTTTATTTACATTCTTCCACCGAGCGTTTGATGTTTATATAGCAGTACTTGAAGAATCTCTATTTACAGCTTGGCTGTTTTACAGTTATCTGTGGCACGAATGCCTTCACTTGATTCTCAATAATCTTGTCGCCTGCAGGTCATACCGCTGAGGGAATATTAAAAAGCGCCGTGGCTGCTTTACGCACTATTCAGGAGATACGGAAGGGAAGTTCAACTGTCAGTGCCCTGTCTCTGCCACCTTGCAATCTGAACGGAAACGATGAACGATATGGTACGATATTCAACGAGGGTCTTCTGAGACCCTGGGGTAGCAAATTATCTGAACACTCAAAGAAACAGAAATCTGAGGGCATGGCGTGTGCTAGCTGACAGGCAGGGGCACTTAGTGATCTTAAAGAACTTAACCCTTCAATGCCTGAGCTGTCCTCTCAGGTCACTCATTGTGGTATCTGCTTCAGACCTTGAGGCATTGAAGGGTTAGGGAGGGCAGTCATTATTTGCACATAGCTTTGAAGCTCCTAGATGTTGTATGGAGCACAATGATTCATTACTGCCTGCATTTCCTAGTGGCATTTTCTTGTGTTTGTTGAAATGAATTCAGCAGAGTATGTTGGGGCTTGGTTTACCCATTTCTGTGAATGAGAAGAATTATCGTTTTGAAACGTTGCAGTGATTTCTTATCGGTGATATGACTAGTGCTTGCATTAGATTGAGGTTTCTTTGATATTTTCAGCGGAATCTTCATTGCTATAATATGTCCATGGTGTTCAGCTGAAGGACGAAGGTCTTCTCCTGTGGCTGGTATCGTCTAGGGTCCAGTACCTTCAGGCTGCGCAATGGGTAACAGTGACGTAGTTGGGGATGAAGTGAAGTGCGGCTGGACATTTCGCAACATTGGGGGGTTGGACATTTGACTGAAGACCCTTTTGTTGCTCTCTTCTGTAGGAGATTGAATCCCGCCGAAGTCTAGTTTTCCTCTACAACAATACCAGTTCTCGACAAATACATTTGTCTTGATTGTGGTATATGACTTCTATCTGAAACTGTGGTGTAGTATGATTCCTAACATAGCAAATAAATACATGAGATTATAAAATATGTGAGCAATATTGTCTATCGTTCGTGCAAATTCATGTGGGTGCAAATCGTATTACTAGTTTTTTAAATTGGCAAAAACATGATCAACTTGTTGAATTGCCAGTGTACCTCTATATAGTTATCAATGAGAATTTTCCTCTATAATAACATGTAAAGATGTCTGAGTGTTAGTGTTAACCATGTCAGTTGGAATATGTGCACGTCTTGAATCATTTATAGCACCTATATTAACCGTAGCATTTTTCTGTAAGTATTTACTTGTTTCAAGTGTGTTATGATTCACATTTCAGAGTTGACCTTATAATTGCTATTAATGCAATCAGCTATTTATATCAATAATTCCACTGGGTTGTTAAGGTTCAACATTGGCTGAAATTTACCCCCCAAAATTTTCTTTACAATTTCTTGCACTCGCTTCTAGTAAGAAATATGTAAAGCGATTCAGATACGTAACGCATTATCCTTTGCTTCTCATCACATCAAACTTCTCTACAAAATTATTATCAGTTTTTTTTAAAAAATAAATAACCCAAGTTTTCGTGACTAAATTAGCTTACTAAAGCACAAAACAAATTTTTTTAAAAATGAGATGTAATCTCAAATACTAATTGATATGAATTTTTTGCATCAAAAGTTTGAACTTTTGGGCTTTTGACACCTCCAATTGAAGGAAAAACACGTGAATGCATGAGCCTGATCATTGAAGCAGTGACTGGGATGCTTTGAAGTGATGAGTAAAAAAATGTGAAGCGCCCCGAGTCTTCTGGGTGTCAGCATCTGCCTATTCCATAACCACTCCTGCTTTTAGTATACACACAATCTTTACAGTAATTGAGGCTTATCCTAATCGACTTGCCAATGACTTGCCTTCCGCTACTCATCGAAACAGCAAGCATCAATGAACAATCGTACTGCCAAATCTCATTCAGGGCGAGGTGGCTTGTGATCCTTGAGTGTGGTGCCGACTCTCTGCTTATCACCCTTACGGATAAGAAAATCAGTTACTAGAAAAAAGATTCGAGTACAGGGTTGTAGCACAGCGAGTTTCATATGCCGTTCGCAATTCCAGAGCTCATATTTACAAACTTAGTGTAAATGAACATAAAGCACATCATATAATGTACAGAAGCCTTGAGGAGAAAAAAACTGAATCAAGCATTTACGACCTGATACTAACCTTGTTCCCCTTTGACCACTACATCAATTCTAGTCGGTGTGTTCTAAAAAATTCTTTTATAAATAAAAAAAAAGAAAAGAAAAAAGGGACAAAATAAATCAAGCAAGTAAGAAGAAGCAGAAGAATAGAGGTTCCCTAAGGGTCTGCATCCCAACGAAGCTCCACCATTAAATTGTTAAACTCCTGGATTTGGTGATCTTCAGATTTGCAAATTTTTGGAAGTTCACGCCATTCACCAGCAGAAAGGTCATAGAGCCATCCAACCTCGTCATAACCAGCTTTGATCCACTCGTCATTGAACGCGATAACCAATAACAAGCCCTTGCATGCATAAAGCCTCATCTGGTACTTTTCCCCGTCAGGATGGACTACAAAAGGGTCGCAATTGATACTCCTTTGCCTAACCCACTTCGGGTTGGCTATTTGAGCTTGGTACTCTGTAATACAGTATCGATACTTCGTCAAAGGTTCTCCTGGATCACCTCCATCAGACACCTCCAAACGAACTTTCTCCTCATGTAGCACAAATAACCGATCCTTCACAAGTGCACCAGTGCAAACAACCATTGCTTGCCGTTCCGGATAGCTCTCATCATTCAGTTCGTTCAGTTTCTCCTCGGCATAGTTATACACACAGGGACCGACGTAATCTAGGTCAGCAAAATATTCGTCCGGGAAATCTGGGTCCTGATAGCTCTCTAGATCCCAGCTGTACTTGATACCGAAAAATTGGTCAGAAGGATGCGGCTCCTCCCTCCAATGCAAGCTAATCCATTCATCTCTCTCAGAATCAAATACTTCTGCTATTACACCTTTACGCAATAAACATGAAACCAATATCACTTTATAATATCCTGTAATACTGTTCGTAACTATCTGCATCATCTGCAATTGGTGGGTTTTTAGACCAGTTAAACGAAGCACTTTCATAGCTTTGGTTAATGGATTAACCACAACAATTTCCAGGGGCTTCTTCTTGGTTGCTTTCCACGCAGACGCAAAGACCACCAACCCTCCGTCTGCAGCACTCATTGTCTTGAAGGGTTCCGTATCATCCCCTAAAATCAGCTCATAAACATGCCATCGGTTGGAATACATATCATACAACTTTATCCAGAACCTCCCGTAATCATCAATATTTTCCTCCAATAGTGCAAAGATCTTTCTATTAACCTCAGCACATGTTGCCTTGAAATGTGACTTTTCATTCAAGCTCCGATCCCACTGTTTCGAAAGACATCTCAAACGCTGGATGTTAGGCAATGGCAGCCTAGCAAAGGTCAACTCCAAGAGTTCTTCAGGTAGGCGACTCCACACAGCAGGATCCAACATTGCAGGATGCTGTGGGCATACGTGTCCACAAGGGCTTTCTGTCTCCACTACCCTTCTTTTCAACTCTCTGGTGATAGAACCCACTACACTAGTGCTGGAAGAGCATTCGGCGTTTTCTGGGGTTTCAAGGTAGGGAGCTGCGTATTCAATTATGCTTCGCATTCCCGGAGCTTCTCGAGTGCCTGATATAAGTTCATCTAACCTGTCTCTCAAGATGCTTGCGAGCTGAAGGAAGCTTGGCCATTCTTTTGTTCCTTCAAAACATTTTGAGTCACCAGTTGCATTCTTGTCTGCCATCTCCAACGTTATATGTAGTAACTTACACCGACTATCTAATGTAGAGGACAGTGATCTATCCTCACCAGCACAAACTTCGTTTGCGCATCGCCTTGTTGTTAACGTGGATGTAGTAAGCATCCATGGCCCAAAAAGGTCTGTGATTTTCGCATCAATTGAAGACAAGGAGCTTTCGTAGTACAACTGAATGTTGTATGAGAAGCTGGGAATCTCAGAAACTGCTACAAACAGAAAAGCATGTTTAGTGCGAGACAAGCTAGCACCTTTACTTCAACGAGAATGTGTGAGATACATTCATGGGCAGCTCAATATTTCAAATCAGCCCTGAGTTAGGCAGATGGGTTAACACGCCAAAAGTATCACTGTCTCTCACATGGCACACCTTCACAAAGTGGCAATCTGGTGTCTAAGAAGACAGAGTATCATTTCTAAACGAACCACAATAGCTTAAAGAGTGCGTACAATGCGCTGTTGTAGGATGCACTGCAATAGACATAAGGTCACACATATCCTAAGCTCGAAGTCAATGTAGACTTCAATTCTGAAGAAGAGCATATGAACACCTTTCACAGTACGCATAATTACTATCTTTTCACAACCTAATGACCCAGACAATTGTGAATGTCTGTTGCTTGCAGCTATAAGGGCACTAGCGATGGAGTTTTTGGCAAGAGCGATCTCCTGCTTTATCTGTCAAATTTCTGTTTGTTGCACAACAGAGTGGGTGACTTCATAGGATATATACGGAATCTCACTGAGCTACACACCCCTCTCGAGAATTCCAACATCATTTCTACGACAAGGATAAGTCACTTTCTACAGGCGTACCTGAATCACCCAAAAAGCCGTCGTCGAGCTCGGCTAGAATCTCCGCTAATGCATCCCAAGCACTGTCTAATGAATCCCGTTACTTTCATAAAATTCGAACTGGACACACAACCCAATGTTAACCGACTATCCAAGTGCGGCTATACATATATGAATAGAGATGACGGATCTTAACACGTTGAAGCATCTAAACCCTACAATCAAACCGAGCGTATGTTTACTTTGATACATTCTACTGGCTGCTGAAATATCAGGCCTACGCAGTGTGTCTGTAGTGAAGCACCCTTCTCCGTAAAGAGAAACTTGAGATCATATAAACCGCGAGGGAAACTCCTCTCAAAACTAGAATGACCACAAGCAAAAGACACAAAAACCCTCACCATGCTACAAAATTGCGCTCTTCCTAACCTCCGCTCGTCAGCTTGTACTCCGCGCCACACCCCGCGACAGCAGCTACTACAAGCGGCCTTCATGCGACTCAAAAGACTAAAGCAAAGTTGAATTACAATCACCAAGGTGCCTAGAATAGCTTGTTGTCAAGTGAATGCCTGTATACACAATCTCTCGCAAGAGCTCGACCCCATGAAAGGACTCTTGCTCCCAAAACGAGAATAGAAGCCTAGAATGTAGACATGACAGTGCTGTAGTATATAATGTTCCGTGTAGCTTCATTAATGAATTCTCTTTTGATTTGGCGCCATTAATTTCTGTGGTCAAGTGCCTATTAATGGAGCAAGCTGTTCCCCCATCATGGTGGAGGGGCCACCGAGGCAATGTCCCATTCTCGGCGAGTCGTCCTCTCAAATGAATGTGATTGACGATACTGCTCATCCAATACAGTGCCAGTGTCCTCCCCAGGAAAAATTCCTCACTGCGACCCTACTTGACATGACACCACCGTCCAAATTCGGTCATTCCCTTGGAGGTAATTGGGTTCCGGCTTGATGCAGGTTCTTGTCGACCTCACGCAGTATTTTCATGTTCTAATTCACGAGACACAACTTCTTGTGTTGATTTCTAAAGCATCAAGGCACTGTAAGAACTCTGGTTGAAGAGGAATGACAGTTTCGGCGAGCAGTAAGTGGGGAGTGATGTTGGAGGACCCCGTCTTCATATTAGGGTCTGTCATTCACGAAGCTTAAAATAACAAAATTGGGCAGTAGACATGAGAAATCTGACATTCCACATCACACTTGTTCGTTCGACTGGTGACAAGAGTTCCAGGACGTAATATATATATATATATATATATATATTTAGTCAAGTAATGACACTGCATAGGAGATGATCAGCTCGTCCTTCGAATTCGTAATCACCTGAAGAATAAGGGAAAATTCTACGCAGTGTGCGATACAGGTTGATGCAGCAACAACCTGCTCCAGAACCCATATCTCCAAAAACCTGAAACCATAGTGGAATACAAGCAGAGTGACCGATTCCACTGCACCACTCACCCAAAAACAGACGAAGCTGGGTATTGAAACATGATTCTTCGAGGAGAAAACGCAGTTCATAAAACAATGGAATGAATATTGTTTTTGAAGTAGAAAAGTAATGCCTCATGTTTGTGTTTGTGGAGTGAACGATAAAATGAATGGAATTTAGATGAACTGTGTTTCTTTGCTCTACAACATAACTAACAATTTTTTATAGTGATAAATGTTTAGGATTATAAAAGATATGTATATTTTAGTAAATATCATAAAAATCAATATTACATATTGTACATGTAATATAATTATATAATTAATGTCTATTTTTAATATTAATTTTTTTTATATAATGTTTTCTATTAACTAATCTCCAAATACTGATAAATTTTAATAAATTTTAATAATTAATCAATTGTTTTTGAAACCGACACTACTAAATGGTGCATAATCAATGATCTCTATTTTTTAAAATAATTAATGGATTTTCATCACTTTATATTAATTAAAAAAGATATTTAATAGAGATCATATAGCTATAGATAATTAAGTAAGGCCATATGGCTATATATAATTGGATGAAGTAAGACCAAGTTTTTTTAGATCTATGACTTAGAGATAGAATCTCCAATAAAAAATAAATTAAGTCACTCATTACTAGAAAGTTGAGTCCCTTATAGAATATAAATTGAATTATATACTTAGTTAAATTTTAATTTTTGTATAAGAATAATACTATTGGATCCATAATAGACCTTGTTAATTACTTTGGCAAAAATAAAAAGTTTTATAGACAAGATTTTTTTTTGTAAGCCCACTCTATCAATACATTGATTTAGTAAGATAAATTCTATGACAAATTGAGATTTAACCTTGATAAAAATAACTACAAAAAATCAAAAGAAGTTGTCAAAGAAGTGGCAAATCCTAAAGAAGTTGAACTTGCTTTTAAGGTTGCTAAATCTAATAATATTGCTGCAACGACCTTGACCATCCAAACTCAAGTTGTTGTAGCTTGCAACAAGCAAGCTGACCTACCATTTAAAAATGTTTTGAGGTATTTATGCATTAAGACTACGCCCATTTTAAATGCTATAATGAAGAAAAAAAATTACTTATTTATTTTGTATTTTTTTTCCTACCATTGTCTATTTTGAAATAGATGTATTGGATGTTCAAACTTTTAAGGAACAATTGAATAGTGAAATTCTAAAAAATATTCTTTTGTGCAAGTCCAACTTTAAAAATATAAGAATGAAAGAGAGTCAAAAGGTAGAAGATTATTATTCTATTGACAATTAAGAATTTCAACTTAAAATCTTGAATAGTGCCATTTCTAAAGGAAAATTGATGCACATTGTGCTAAAGAAGCTTTCTTTAAATTTCCAAAGATTTGTCTCTATACTTAATTAAGATATGATATTAATCCTATTATAATAACAAAAGAAGCTATGATATTGAAACATTTTAGTCAATTGATTTGATAAGGCTTTGATTGTAATCCTACAAGATCATCTATGTTCCTTGGATTTTCTCTCAAATAAGATTATAAAGCTTCTTTTGAATGTATATATAATGTCTTTGGCAATCCAAGAACTCCACTTCAACATTGTTTTGCTTGTGTTTGTACTAAATTTTTCTTTTATAATTTCTATAGAAAGAATAATTAAATGTCTCTTAATTAGGACTTGAAGAAATTTAAAGAGAATACTACAAACATGTGGATTAAAGCTCCTATAATATAATGTGCAACTCGGCCTTAAATTTATATTGTTAAAATAACCAAAGAGGAACTTACTAAAGAAGAATTTGATGAGATGCACAATATTGATCAATCTTAGGATATTAATGTAGACCAAGTCAATCTTATTAAAATCAATCTAACTAACCACTTTAATATAAAAAAAAACTAATTTGTAGATTTTATAGCTAATATATATGTTATTAAAAATAATATATGTCTTTTTTGGTTTATATCTAATTTATCTATTAATTGCTCTATTGTAATCACTATTGGCAAGCAATTTGTCTTTATTTGGAGGAATAAAAGTATTAATAAAATTTTATATGTACTTGGTGTAAGAAAAAATTTCATGTCACTTGTAAAACTTTTGCCACGGCCATAATCATGTAAGCTAATAATTACATATAGAAATAGGTAGAAGTAAGTAAAAGTAGGTAAAAGTAAGTTAATTCTATAATATTTAATATGAAAGCTTCCTAGAAACTTCCTAGATGCTACTTGGACTTCATAGGTGTCTTTAATTGACTTTTTGGATTAGAAACGTGGTCAACAAGTAGGCCATGTGCCACACATGTTGTTAGCTTGAAGATCAAGCTAACTATGTGGCCCACACATAGAAAAACTTGCCTTGTAAGTCAAGGCATGTGCCCTACAAAGTCAACACATATTGGAGGTCCTATAGAACGTCGCCACGTAGCTCTTAGTTAGATAATATATATAGAGACAAGAGTGAAGGCTTCTTCACTCTTGTCAACTCTTTTCTTGCTTCTAGTCTAGTTTCAAGGGTCTCTAGTTTTCTTGTCTTTTGGCAATAGCCATTCCAATTCCTCTTTCAATATATATATTTATTTATATATATTTTGTTACCTCTCTTTGAGTGAAGGCTCACTTGTCTGAATTATTTTTTTCATCGAGTTCTTGTCCTTCATAGATTGACAAGAGTACACCTACAATATCAGAGCTTTGTCTAATCTTGATTAAGAGTGGATTACTCCTTTTTCTTGATAAGATATAAGCGTATTAGAAGTTGCAGATTACCCTCTTCTAAACTGATATTGTCCTTAGTATTTTCTTTGTCTGCAAGTCTTCTTTTCTAGTTGTCATGAGCGATTTAGACATCTTCTCTCTTCTAAGTGTTATCATGGCAGAACTTCTTGAAATGAAGAGTGCAATGGCACAAATGCAAGAGCAATTGAGAGAGTTAATGCTTACAATGCATCAACTTAATTTACCCCCACAAGGAGCAACAAGATTGGCAGGAAGTGAAGATATAGAAATGGTTGGAACTGCTTCAACATCTGCACCAAACCATGTCCTTTCTCCTATGGTAGAACGCCCTTCAAATGTTAGAGAACCAAGAATTGTCCTACCCGAGAAGTTTGATGGCACCAGATCAAAGTTTCGAGGATTTATCAATCAAGTGCAACTTGTGATTGAACTTCAACCCCAAAGCTATCCAACTCCAGGATCACAAGTTAGATTCATTGGTACGCTTCTTTCATGCTCGGCACTATCGTGGTTTTCATCTTTTCTTGAACGATGAGATCCAATATTGAATAATCTAGAGGCTTTTTTGGCGGAGTTTTGATCCATGTATGGAGAACATGATGCAATTCGTGTTGCACCAATAAGATCCGTATTTTACGACAAGACAATCGATCAGTAACGTTATATGCTTTACAATTTTGACAACTTGAAACTGATATCAAGTGGGATGATGCTGCACTTATTAGCCAATTTCTCTATGGATTACAATATGAGGTAAAAAAATTAATGCTCAACTTACCTGATCCTCAAACATTGAGTCAAGCAATTGACTTTGCTGTGAAGTGCGACAATCGCCTTTTTGAATTCCGATCTGAGAACCGTACAAGTGGACCTCAACTTTACTATAATTCAATGGCAACACCAACACCTCTTCAACACATACATTCGGAAGTAGAGGATATGCAAATTGATGCAGTACGTTTCAAACCTCTTACTGAGCAAGAAAAGATTCATCGTCGTCAAGAAGGATTATGTTTATATTATGGAGAACCAAAGCACACTGCTCAATATTGTCCAAAGAAATGACGCAATCACAAAATGAGGAGTATGGCTGTGAAAGAAGATAATATGTCGGAAAACGAGTTTGTCCAGCTATAATAGGGACCGTGCGGTTGGAACCTTGCATAACTTCTAGTAAAGGTCCTATTCTCTTCTTAGAGCCCTCTCCTTGTTTTACATTAAATGTTATTTTAGGACCTAAACATTACAAAGTTTCAGCCTTGTTAGATTCAGGAGCCTCAGCGTGTTTTTTAGATGAAGAATTTACTAAAAGACATAGCATATCTTTAGTAAAGAAAACTAAACCTGTTCATGTAGAAGTCATAGATGGTCGTCCATTGTCTTCTGGAGATATTACTCACGAAACCCTTCCTATAGAAGTAATAATCAATGGTCATAATAGTTTTGTAGTATTTAATATCATTAGATCTCCCTCT